GAGAAGCGGGGCGCGGCCACTTCACAGAGTCGCCCCCCACCCCAGGCCGAGCCCGTGCTCAGGCCCTCTGTGACTGGCCAGACTCTGAGAGGACGCGGCCGGCTGCGGGCGGCCCCGGGCGGGGCTGGACGGTCTTGGCACCGCCCAGAGGGGCTCAGCCCACGGCACTAGGCGCTAAGCACCAAGCACCGGCGGGAGTGTGTGGCTCGGCTCTCGTGGACCTTAGATCTGCCGCCACCCTCCACTCCCACAAGAGCTCAGTGTCCCAAACGAGAGTCTGGCGCAACTCGGTTCTTCTGGGAGGTTTCCCGACAGGTGATGGTCAGCCAGACTCCGAGAAGGTGGCCCTCCTTGAGAAGCCAGTTTCATCTGTGATTTGCTTGGGGGGGGGGAGTTACTTCCTACCAGCAGCAGGGAGGAAGCACAAAAGGGGCACCCCGCACCCTCAGGCTGCCCCCTCAGCATGGCATCTGGCTGCTGCATAGGGCACTTATGTGATGGTCCACACAGCGCTGGCTCCACTGACCAGCGGCAGGATATAGGTGGACACCCACTGCCCACCGTGTGACTTGGACTGGTTGACTGGATGCGCGAGGCAGGCGGCTCCCGGAGCCTGAGTCGCAAATGCCTTGGTCCTGACCCACAGCCGCACGGCAGCGCGGCCCACCAGTGGGCTCCCGGGTTTTACCTGGAAGATCGGGAGCCCCGAGGTCCCCAGTCCAGGGGGTCGGACCTGGTCCCCTTAGCACCTGGGCTGCAGGGGCTTGGTTTGCGGAACCTGCCTCCACGTGTCATTGTGGCCGCTGGTGAGCTCGCGTGCATGACGCAGCCACTGCGAGCTGAAGTCAGCACACTGGGCCGGCCCCGCGGGGTGCGGGGGGCCCCGGGGTACGGGGGGCTGACGTCTGCTCAGAGGAGGCTTGGCAGGCCCCAGGACAACCAGCCAGAGGAGGAGCCCAGGAGAGCTGGGCAGCGGAAGGTGCAGCTGGAGGTGAGGGTCAGCTTCGGGGTGAGCCTGGCTGGGGGGGCCGGTGGCCGCAGAGGTGCAGGGGCCCCGCGAGGCGGGGCGGTAAGCAGGGCGGCCGGGTCACCCAGCGCGAGGGCCGCGGAGCAGCCTCTCAGGGCATTTACTCGGAGCTGAGAGCATTCTGTCTCCAAGGAAATACTCTTGAGATTCTTTATAGTTCATGAAAGAGCAGGAGAGCATTAAATAATTTCATCTGCAGTCTGAAGTGCCCAGCCAGAGGATCAGCGTTTGGCTCGGTTTCGGCGGCGCTGAGCGATGCCTTTGATTTCTAGTGCTTGCTAATCTTTTCGTTTTCCTGAGCACAGGTATTCTATTATAAATTAACACGGGAAAGCAGAGCGGGTTTAATTGCATATAATTACTTGGTATGCCAAAGTATGTTCCAATTGAGATCGCTTGCTTGAAAGTGTTGGTATTTAGTGAATAGAGTTTATGGTAATTCCCTGCTTTTCCCGGCTGCCTAGTGATCTTCAGAGCCAGGAGGCCGGGGCAGCGCCGGTTCTGCGGGAGCAGAGCCCGACATGAAAGTGCTCAAAGCGGCCTGTTTGTCTTTGTTTCACTAGGAATCCAAAACAAAGCTAATCTGACCAGCGCAATCAATGGAAGGGTGAGGATTCGCGCTTTGAAGCCGGGGAAGGCAAGGAAATAATCCCGCCAACAATGGAGCCTCTAATTCTCAGGCTCCGGCGCTGAAAGCCGCCGCCTCGGGATTCCGGGTTCGGGGTGCTGAGCGCCGCGCGCGCAGGTGCGGCGCTGCGGGCTGTGAGCCCCCCGAGGCAGGGCCCCGTGGCCGCCTGTCACCCCATGTCCTTCCCGGCCCTTCTCTCCCCAGGACCCGCTGCCCTCGAGGGCACCAGAAGCCAGCGGGC